TTGACGAGGATTGCTATAGATTGAAACTATAGATTGCCCTTTGGTAGGATGACCATTTCAATCTTATTGATACATAGTAATACTATCGATAACATGAGCATGGGAGATCTTTCCCTCTTCTGATATCTTCTCTAATTTCATTCTTCAGTCTCTTAAAGTTTTTATCATACAAGTCTTTCATTTGGTTGGTTAGCATTATCACAAGATAATTCATATTATTTGAGGCTATTGGGAAAGATATTGTTCCCTGATTTCTTTCTCGGTCCATTTGTCATTTGTATGTAGGAGGGCTACTGATTTTTGTGAGCTAATTTTGTAACCAGCACTATGCTGAAAGTGTTTATCAGCTGTAGGAGTTTCACAGAGGAATTTTTAGAGTCACTTATGTATCCTATCACATCATCTGCAAATAAGGATATTTTGACTTCTTCCTTTCCCTTTTCCTTCAGTTGTGTTATTACTCTAGCAAAGACTTCAAATACTATATTGAATAGGTATGGAGAGAGTGCAGCCTTGTCTTGTTCCTGGTTTTAGTGGAATTTCTTTGGATTTCTCTCCATTTCAGTTGATGTTGACTATGGGCTTGCTGTAGACTGCCTTTATTATGTTGAGGTGGCCCTTGTATCCCTAATCTCTCCAGGATTATATTTTCCATCCAGGTTCATAAATTGTTCTGTAATTCTCTTTCTTTGTTTGGGTCTTTATGTGGTTTGACTATCAGGGTAACTGTGGCCTCTTAAAATGAATCAGGCAATGTTTCTTATGATTCTATATTGTGGAATAATTTGAGGATTTTTAATTAGCATTAACTCTTCTTTGAAAGTCTGGTAGAATTTTCCAGTAAAATCATCTCCCTGGACTGTTTTTGTTTTGTTTGCTTGTTTGTTTGTTTGTTTGTTTGTTTTGTTTGGGAGTTGGGAGAGTTTTAATTACTAGTTCTAATTTCATGAGAGGTTATAGGTCTGTTTAATTTGTTTATCTGATATTGACTTAATTTTGGTAAATGCTATGTATCAATGAAATTATCCATTTATTTTAGATTTTCCAATTTGGTGGAGTACTTTGTTTTGTTTTGTTTTGTTTTGTTTTGTTTTTGTTTTTTGAGATAGGGTTTCTCTGTGTAGTTTTGGTGCCTGTCCTGTATCTTGCTCTATAGTCCAGGCTGGCCTTGAACTCACAGAGATCCACCTGGCTCTGCCTCCCGAGTGCTGGGATTAAAGGCATGCGCCACCACCGCCCAGCTCGAGTACAGGTTTTTTACATATGTCCTTATGTTTCTCTGAATTTCCTCCTTGTCTGTCGCTAAGTCACCATTTTCATCTATAAATTTGTTAATTTGGATATTCTCTCTGCCTTTTAGGTAATTTGGAAAAGGGTTATCAGTCTTACTGATTTTCTCGAAGAACCAAGTCTTTATTACATTGATTCTTTGTAATGTTTATTTGTTTGCTTGTTTCTAGTATATTGATTTCAGCACTGTTTTGATTATTTCTTGCCATCTACTCCTTTTGGGTGTGATTTCTTCTTTCTGTGTTAGAGCTTTCAGGTGTGCTGTTAAGTTACTAGTATGAAATCTCTCCAATTTTTTTCTTTATGTGAGCACTTAGTGCTATGAAATTTCCTTAGAACTGTCTTCACTCTGTCTCATAAGTTTGAGTATGTTATGTATTCATGTTCCTTAAATTCTAGAAAATATTTGATTTCTTTCTTATTTCTGTCTTCATCCATTTTTCATTCAGTGGTGAGTTGTTCAATTTTCATGAGTTTGTAAGACTTCTGTATCTATTGATATCCAGCTTTAATCTGTTGTGGTCTGATAGGATGCAGGGAGTTATCTCAGTTTTCTTGTCTCTGTCGAGACTTGCTTTGTGACTGAGTATGTGGTCAGTTTTGGAGAAAGTTCCGTGAGGTGCTGAGAAGGTATATTCTTCTGTGTTTAGGTGAAATGTTCTGTTAGGTCCATTTGATTTGCGACTTCTGTTAGTGCCAGTATTTCTCTGCATTTGTCTAGGTGACCTGTCCATTAGTGAGATGGTATATTAAAGTCAACCACTATCAGTGTGTGAGGGTCGATACATGATTTAAGTAATATTTCTTTCACAAATGTAGATGCCCTTGTATTGGGGCATAGATGTTAAGAAGTACAGTGTCCTCTTGGATTGTCCATTGATGTAGTGGCATTCCCTACTTCTTCTGATTAGTTTTGGTTTGAAGTCTATTTTGTCAGATGTTAAAATGGGTACACCAGCTTGCTTCTTAGGTCTATTTGCTTGGAATATCTTTTTCCAGCCCTTTACCCTGAGGTGATAATCTATCCTTGATGTCAAGGTATGTTTCTGGATGCAGCAGGAGGATGGATCCTGTTTTCCCATCCATTTTGTTAGTCTGTATCTTTTTATTGGGGAATTGAGAACATTGATTCTAAGAATTATCAATGAGCAGTATCTGTTGATTCTGCTATTTCGTTGCTGTGGTGTGTGTGTGTGGTGGGGGATTTCACCCTTACTTTTGACTTAATGGTTTAGGATCATTTATTCCTTGTGTTTTCTTGGGTATAACTAACCTGTTCAGGTCAGGCTGAATTTTTTTCTTTTAGAGCCTTCTGTAGGACTGGATTTATAGATAGATAGTGCTTAAATTTGGGCTTACCATGGGATATCTTTTTTTCACCATCTATTGTGATTAAAAATTTTGTTTGAAAAGTAGTCTAGGCTAGCATCTGTGATGATTCGAGTCTGCAACACATCTGCCCAGCCTTCTGGCTTTTAGAGTTTCCATTGAGAAGTCGGTGTAATCTAATGGGTCTGTCTTTATATGTTACTTGGTCTGTTTCCCTTGCAGCTTTTAATATTCTTTCTTTGTTCCATATGTTTAATGTTTTAATTTTTATGTGCTATTGGGGGTTTCTTTTCTGGTACAGTCTATGTGGAGTTCTGTATGCTTCTTGTACCTTGTTAGGCATGTCCTTTAGATTATGGAAATTTTCTTCTATGATTTTGTTGAATATATTTTCTGTGTCTCCTTCCTCTGTTCCTATTATTCTTAAATTAAGACTTGCCATAGTGTCCTAGGTTTCCTGGATGTTTTGTGACTGGAGTTTTTTAGATTTAACCTTTTCTTTGACTGAGGTATCCGTTTATTCGATTGTGTCTTCAATGTCTGAGATTCTCTCTTTCATCTCTTGTATTCTGTTGGTAAGGCTTGCCCCAAACTCTGTTTGAGTTCCTAAATTTTCATTTCCATATTTCCCTTAGTTTTGGTTTCTTTCTTGATTCTATTTTCACTTTTAGATCTTGAACTGTTTTATTCATTTCTTTCCACTGTCTGTTTGTTATTTCATAGATTTCTTTAAAAGATTTATTCATTTTCTTTCAGAACCTCTATCATATTCATAAGGGCTATTTTAAGGCCCTTGCTTGTGCTACAACTATATTGCATTTCTCAGGGCCTACTGTGGTAGAATTGCTGGGCTCTACTGGTGACATATTATCCTGTCTGTTAATGACTGTTTTTATGCTGTTGTCTAGGCATCTGGGTTTGGAATTATTGTAATTCTAGGTGCTGATATCTGGTTTTATCTTTTTTTGGTTTGAATGTTTTGTTCTTTTATTTCTTTTGTCCTCTCTGGTTCTTAGGAGGATGTAATAGCTTTGTGTTGTGGGTAGGGATCCTGATGGTGTGGTCACTGGGGGGTTCAAGGTAGAATGTGTGTGGTAGTTTGAATGTAATTGGCCCACATAAGCTCATTGAGAATGGCACTGTGAGGAGGTGTGGCTTTGTTAGAATGGGTGTAGCCTTGTCGGAGGAAGGGTATCATTGTGGAAGTAGGCTTTGAGATCTCCTAAGCTCAAGATATGCCTACTGTCTCAGACCACTTCCTGTTGCCTACAGGTCAAGATATAGGACTCTCAGCTCCTTCTCCACACCACGTCTACCTGTACATCACCATATCACACCATGATGACAATGGACTAAACCTCTGAAAATGTCAACCACCCCAATTAAATGTTTCCTTTATAAGAGTTGCTGTGGTCATGGCGTCTCTTCACAACAATAGAAACCCTAAGACCTTGTGTTTCTAGGTATTGGGACCTGACCCTTAGGGATGGGAGAGGGGTTTGCCGAATGAGTCCACAGGAGGAAGGAAAGCAGGTTGCTCTACCAGGATCTGCTTGAGAAATGGGGCAGAGAGTAAGGAGAGGTCACAATGGCTGGTCGGCTGCAGAGCTGGAGATGAGACTGGGGGATTCAATTTGGAGGTGAGGAGGAAGAGTGAAGATCTGAAGGACATCTACCTGCTTCTCTGACTACCAGCTTCCCTGGTTGGTTTAGCTGGGGAGTTCCCAGAGAATGTCTGCTGGAGTTGGGGGCTGGGATAATGGGATGAGTTGGGGGAAGAAAATTTGAAGGAGAAGAATCATGTGATATGCTGCAGGTGTTGGCAGAAACGGGGGGAGGTGTATCAGGTGGTCTGCCACAGAGCTGGACGGTGAGACTAGGGGACTGGATCTGGAGTAGAGGAGGGAGAGGTGAAGATGTGCAGTTAGCCTAGCTGCTTCTCTCTTAATTAAAGTCTCTGGTTCATTTTCCTGCATACATAGACAGACCAGCCTAGCACACAAAAGATTGCTGATATCGAGGATGATGATATAACCTCAGTTTACCTGACACCATCCATGTCTTCTGTCATGGAACTTTAATGACATTCCTTTTCACTTTCAAAAGCATCCTAATGTGATCAATAAACTATCTCCTTTTCATGTGCATATAACCAATAAAAAGATACTCAAGACAACAACATGAAAATCCAGCTGTCACATCCATGGTCTGGGTTCAGCATTTTCAAATGTTAACAGAAATTCTGTTGGTTTCAAGCAAACTAGAGCTGAGAGATCATTTTGGGTCCCTACTTCTCCAAGCATCCCTTTTCTGTGGACCTTTCTGCATATCAGCTATGTGAATAGGGAGTCTTAGCTGCAGACCACCAAATCTACTCAGAATAGTCAAACAAAAGGAACTTTATGTGGAGTATTTTTATCCTCCAGACTTTGACAGCATTAGGACCCACCCTACATTCAGCTACTAATGATGCAGCCAAAAGAAATGCTATATCAGAAATGTCAAGGCTCATCACCCACTGCTCATCATCTAAGGTGGAACTGGAGAGCGGACCCATCACCACAGCCTCCCAAATTCCATTCCTTTGTGTGCACTTTGAGTTTGGTGGAGGGTATTCTTTGTAAAGGTAGGTGATTTGCACAATCTGGAGAGGAAAATGCAATGTCAGCTCTGTTACAAGGCAAGCATGTTCCTGCTTTGAAGAGACGGGGAATGAACCAATCTTCAGTGTTCAGACCTTCTGAGAACTGAAAATGATTGCGGGGGGATCCATGAGGAGGAAAAGTGGGAGGAAGAACATGGTGGCAGCTCCAGAATTTCCTCTAAGCGAGAGTTTAGGAGACACTCCCAGTGGGTGGGGATAAGAGGGGCTCCTTCTGCGGCAGCATCTGCACAGCATGCACAGTGTTCATCTTCTGCTACTCATTTCAAGGATGCGCTCGATGGCCTACAGAAGTCTGCCACACCCAAATGAGGCCAGCCTGGGCTCACAGCCAAACGGAAAGGGCATGACTGTCGCCCCTACCACACAGCTGAGGCCCTGCTGCTTCTGAATGACAGAGCCCTTGACATAACGGTGCTCTGCCACAGACTGACGCCAGGGTACAGTGTTTGCTCTGCCACAGACTGACGGCAGCTTTCCAGAAGCAGGTCTGGGAAAGGGAGAAAAAGAAAGACTGTTTTTTTAAATGAAACTGCAATGTAATTCCTGGGGGAAAATGTAAATTGTTACAGAACACTTAAGGATCTGAACTTCTGCTGCCTCTCTCCCTCCCCCAGCTCTTTTGTCAGGATTTCTACTGCTGTGAGGAAACACCGTGACCAAAGCAACGTGGGGAAGAAAGGGCTTGTTTGGCTTATGCTTCCACATCACTATTCATCCCCAAAGGAAGTCAGGACAGGAACTCAAGCAGGGCCAGAGCCGAAAGGCAGGAGCTGATGCAGAGGCCATGGAGGGGTGTTGCTTACTGGCTTGCTCATCCTGACTTGCTCAACCTGCTTTCTTATAGAACCCAGATCATCCGCCCAGGGATGGCACCACCCACCGTGGGCTGGGCCCTCCCTCGTCAATCACTAATTAAGAAAATGTTCTACCCGCTTGCCTACAGCTCAGTCTTAGGGAGGCATTTTCTCAGTTGAGGTTCCTCCTCTCAATGACTATAGCTTGTATCAAGTTGATATAAAACTAGCCATCATGCCGCCTTTCTTTCTCTCTCTCTTTATCATGCTTAAGGCATCAGTCCTGCTGGTCAGACCCTGTGGGGTACCTTGAGGTAGTTTCGCACTGCCCCAGATCAACCTATCAAAACCAATAGATGCTAAAAACCAACTAACGAGTTGCCAATGTTTCTCCTTTTTTTTTTTTAATCAAACAATTCACAAGTCAGACAGCACAGAAGAGAACACCGTCCTTCAGGCCTGGTTGCGGCCCTGGTGAGGAGACAGAGCCTCGTGCTGCTAAATATAGATTTTGCAGATCTGTTGGCTCCTCAGCTCGTAGCATTCAGCTCCCTGGCTCCCCAGCAGCTCCTTCTCCTCCCCTGTGTCTAGCTCCCTCAGAGGTGGGAGGTGGGCAGGAGACGTGATGAACTCGTAGTGACCGTCCAGATGGCGCAGGTAGATGAGCATGTGCAGGGCGTAGGCCAGCACCAGCAACAGAATCAGAGACATGGCCAGGCCAATGAGAACAGCAGGAGAGAAGGAAGAGCCGCAGTCTCGGGCCTGGGCAAAGTGTGTCCCCTGGATGGAGAAGCCTTGGATCTGTCCAGAGAAAGAAAAGTTCAGAGGTGACCTATGCCTTCCATCTAAGAGTCGGTTCTCACCGTGCTGATGGTTCTGCGCCCCAGTTAACCAAATTTTATACATCATGGTTAGTTTCGTCAACCCCATAATCCGGAAGCACCTAGGAAAAGAGTGTCAGTGAGGGAATGTGCATATCAGACTCCCTGTGGGCATGCATGTCTGTGGGGGGAGGATCCTCTTAATTATGTAAATTGATGTGTTAAGACCCAGCCCACTGTGGGTGGCACCATTCCCTAGGTTCAGGTCTCAGACCCTGTGAACGTGAAGTCAGTGAGCTGAGTGGCAGGCATGCAGTTGTGCTCTTGACTGTGGACGTGGCTGGCTGCCTCAGGTTTCTGCCGCGGTGACTTCCTGAAATGATGGGCTGGAACCTGGAGCTGTGAGCCGAACGAAGTGCTTCTCCCTGAAAGTGGCTTCTGTTGGGTATTTTACTAAAGGCCACGAGGGCACATACCACCCCCAAACTGTAGAATAATTTAAGCACCTGATCTGGTAATTATGATCCTGCTTATTGGGACAATGAAGTCTTGTTTGAAGGCTCACAGTTATGGTGATATTTTATTTGTGCTGAAATGTGATTTTATTTGTATGTTAATAAATAAAGTTGCCTGGAGATCAGAGGTCATAGCCATTAAGCAGAAGTCTGGCAGTGGTAGCACATGCCCTTAATCTGATCACATGGCAGGCAGAGTCTCTGTGTGTTCAAGGACCCAGGCAAGCATGGTGACACATGCCTTTAATCCCAGTACCAACCATAGAGACCTGGAGGTCTGTATAGACAGGCAGTGATGATGAAGTCATGTGGTTGGATTTAGAGCCAATGAGAAGGCAGAACAGAAAGGCAATAAAAAGACAGGAAACAGGAGAAGGTCTCTATCTCAGGGGAAGGACGGCAGCAAATGGTAAGCTAAAGGGAGTCGTGGCTCTTGGTCTGATCTCTTAGGCTTTAACTCTGTATTTGGCTCCATGTTTCTTATTTACTAAGACCGTTCAGAATTTCATCTACACACAGTGTAGCCCCGCTGGCCCCAAACTCACTCACTCTTCCTGCTTCAGCCTTACGTGTTCTGGGATTGCAGACAGGAGCCACCATCCCTGGCTTGAAACTTGATTTTTAAAGCAAAACCCACCAAACACTCTGAGATGGCCAAGCTGTGGCAACTAAGTCTCCTGGAATTCGAGACTCTGAAAGAAAACTTCTTGTAATCTGGTTCTTGGGACGGTTTGAGTTCATGTGAAACCACACTTCGGCTAATGTTGCTAACTCAAAGCGTGCTCTGGGTTTGAGAGGTGCATCCTTGGATGCCACTGACAGGAAGATGCTGGAAGGCATCTCTTGGGGGAACATGAGTCCTGGTACGGTAAAAACACCAACAGAAGCATACACTTGAAGGCTTTGTGTAGACCAGACACTTCTTACCCAATTTAACTTTCTTGACGGCCTCTGAGCAAGTGGCTATTTTACGTTAGAGACTGTGGCTCAGCAACGTTCAGTAACTCACCTGGAGTCACACTGCAGAACGCGTGTGATGATAAAATTTACACCTGGGAAACCTGACTTTATACTTGGGCTCAGTTTATGACTCCAAAGCTTCTGGTATCTTCCATCTCTGCTGCTCTTGTCCCTACCATAGAAGGCTTTACATGGATTCTACCCAGATCCCATGCCACTTTGCATAAGGAATTTGAGCATGCATGGATTTGGTACCCCTGAAAGGAATTTGGGTCTACTGAGGGACAAATGTTGATTCTGCAAGAAAGACCAGCAAATCTGCAGCTTGAACAATCCTTTCCCCTAGCCTGAGCCTGCATTCTTGCCTCTGGGTATGTTCTAGGTGCTTCCACAAGGCTAGCATACCCACCTCCTGGGGAGGTGGGGAGCCTGATTTCATGCATACAGGTTGCACAACCCAGGAGAGGACTTTGCTCCTCACAGTAAGCTCTCTGGAGTCTTGGGGGTCCTGTGATACATGCCAGACTGTTTCTTCCTTATGCTGCGGCTCCAAAGCTTGGAACCGAAGCTACTGTGCCTCATCCAGCCAGCAGAGAGATTAATCCTGTGGGTTTGTGAACCAGTCTCGCTGGTGGCTTTGGAGTCATTTCCAGTCCTCACTCCCTTTCTTTCCATTGGAAATCCCCACCCCTGGTCTTGGCCCATGTGTTTTGCTTTGTTATTTTTGTCACAATATATACATAGCATAAAATGTGTTGTCTTAACCACTGGCACACGCTGGTATAAGTGGTAGCGTTACTCCATGCCTGGGAACGGCCCTGTCTCACACATATGAGGCCATGCATGTACTTCACACATTGATGAAGACAGGTCAGAAACTGGCAAGGGTAAGTAACTTAACCGTGAAACAGAGAAGCGGTTTTCAAACCAGGTTTGCCTCACTCCAAAATGCATGCTCTTCCCTTCCCCTTGGCCTTTTGCCCACACGGTACCTCCCCCAAGCTGAGAGGAGTCTATATAAATATGTATACCCATGCATATATGGAAAAAGCAGGAACATGCCCTTAAAAGGGACATGCAAAGCCCTGCCTGCTACTTCAGTGAGGAAGCCCTGGCCACAGGAAAACAAGATAGAGGGACTTGATAGAATGTCCCCCCCACCCAGCCTGAGAGGATTCTGGGATATGGTGGTGCAAAAGGGCCTGTCACGTTTCCCATGCCTTCCTCCCAAGGCTTTCAAGATCTCCGGGCTAATTTTGACTGGTTGATGATTCCATTCCCATGCTAACTGTCATCGCTGTCTTTCCCACTGCAGATGTACTTCTTATCTGCCCTGATAAGATCACTGCTTCACTCTCACAAGGGAATAAAGTAATTGCCCCACGGTGCCTCTGCCCCCAGAGCCTCTGGGCCCAGGAAGTGTCAGTCACCAGGCTTCAGCCACAGCTGCGCTAGGGTTTAGATAAGTGAGTGGGTAAACAGGAAAGCAGAAACCGAGCCCTGGAGGGCTCAGGCAGAAGAAATTCACTATCCTGCTCCACCTCACGCCACCGAAGCCCCAGAATAAACCAAGGCTCGCTCGCTCGCTCTTCCTTTAAACACCTTGTTTTGGGTGACTTCAACAAACACTGAGTCTCTTTGGCACCAAGTGTGCAGGCGTGTCCACCATATGTTTTAGTTTGTTACCTGGAAATCAATAAACGTGACCTCCCACAGGCTTGCCACATCCTCGGGGCTGCTAAGCAACAGGAGAGCGTCATTCCGCCGCAGGCTGCTGACTCGTTGGCAGCGGTAGGAGTAACTTGACAGAGCATATATGCCAGTTGCATTGAAAGATGCTTGCACCGAATTGTTGAAGATGATCTCGACTCGGTGTAAACTAAACCAACTCTGGCTGGACAGCTTGTTGTAATTGGTTAGGGTGAGCCTGAAAAGGGTCGCACATTAATCAGTGTTAGCCATCGCCCTTTGCCGGTCGCAGGCAGAGCGTCGTCTGTGAACGGTACCATGGCGCCCTCTTTTGTCAGGCTGTGGAATCGAATTGGGGAGCGGCTTCCCTTTGGCGCCAAACAAGAGCCTGTTAGTGAGTGCCCACAGGAAAAGAGCAATATGAAAATCCTACAAAGGATGGGGAGAGGGCTGTTTTTTCTATTCTAAGAATCAATTTATATGTTTATTATTGCAACAAATTTGACAAGAAACTTAGATGTATATTAACACAGCATTAAGTTGTAAAAGAATAGTAATAGCTTTTATGTGCCAGCCACACTTGCTACTCCTGTGTATTTCCTTAAGCTTACTGCTGCCCTGTGAGAAAGACAATATTGTTAACTTAGTGTCACATATGAGGAGCTGAGCCCAGAGGAACAAAATGCCTTGCTCAGTTCCTCTCAGAATGTTGTGTTTAGCTGCCTTTCAGATGCATCCTGAGACCAGCACCCTCACTGCTAACAGCTTTAAAGTGGAACATTCTCCGAACATACATACAGTGGATATAGCTCGTGATAATTGTCTTTTATTTTTAAAAAATGAGATATTACATAGAACGAAAGTCAAGAATGATGGGATTAAAATCTCAGTAGTATTTGCAAATATGGGATAGATTATCAGTGACTTTTATTTTCTTATTCTTTTTGTTGTTGTTGTTGCTGCTTGTTTTTTGTTTTTCTACACAGGGTTTCTCTATGTATCCCTGGCTGTCCTGGAACTTGCTCTGTAGACCAGACTGGCCTTGAACTCGTGAGATCCACCTGCCTCTGCCTCCTGAATGCTGAAATTAAAGGCATGTGCCACCACTGCCTGTCTTATTTTCTTAATTCTGTTCTGTTTTGTTTTGTTTTTCCAGACAGGGTTTCTCTGTGTAGCTTTGGTGCCTGTCCTGGAACTCGCTTTGTAGACCAGGCTGGCCTCGAACTCACAGAGATCCACCTGCCTCTGCCTCAGAGTGCTAGGATGAAAGGCGTGCACCACCCCACCGCCCGGCTATTTTCTTATTCCTATAGCATGATATCTCTGATTTTTCTGTTTTCATGGGTTTTCTTTATCTGCGTTTGTGTTCCTGTAGAAACAGCTCCTGAGACAAAGACAGGAACGTGAGGATTTGGTCCTTCGGGTATATAGAAAAGAGCAATGCTAGTCGACGGGAGGCCACCAGTGGGGAGGATGTTAATGTGTTTTCACAGTAGACAAGGACCAGATGGAGACTCCTGGGAGTCCAGGCAAAAAAGACTTTCTGAACAGCCTCACTTGGGGTGGAGGAAGCTGGGGTGCCAAGGACGGAAGACATAGTTCATGGTATGGGTCTAGGGTCACTCAGAGAGTCACCATGACCAGGAATACATTTTAATTTAAAAAAAAAAAGCCTTTTTATTTAGGTATTTATCCAATGTGGGTGGGGCAAGGACTGCACCTGAGACCCATCCCAGGATGCAGCCCCTGGCCACATCAGCCCAAGGCTTGTAAAGACAAAGCCGGCAAGATTCCATGCAGCCTGCCCACGCGTAGGCAGGGTCTGGTTTTAACATGTATGTCTTGCAGTTGTCCTAGTCATCTTTTTGACAGGGTAAGCAAGTTTGGTTACAGAAGCAGAAGTAGTCGTTAGTTTTATGACCCGCTATCTTGCTAGAACAGCAAACTTTACAGGATCGGTCAATTTAACAATAGTCTTCAACGTCTGGGAGAAAAGGGCTGTGGGCTGCTAGGGTCCAGCCTGAGCAAGGTAGGGGCTTCTTACGTGTTAGAGGCATTTTTCTTTGGTCTCTCGGGCATAGTAAGTCTAAACTTTAAACCCTCATAGTTAGGGTTTCTGTTACTGTGATAAAAGTACCATGACCTAAATCGCCTTGAGGAGGTAACTTCCTGAATAACCACCATCACTGAGGTAAATCAAGGCAGGAACTCAACAAAGTGGGAACCTGGTGACAGGAGCTGATGCAGAGGCGATGGAGGAGTGTTGGCTTGCTCTCCATGGCTTGCTCAGTCTGCTTTCTTAGTGAACCCAGGACTACCTGCTAAGAAGTGGCACCACCCACAGTGGGCTGGGCTCTCCCACATCAATCACTAAGAAGTAAGAAAATAATCAATAGCCTTGCACGTGGGCCAGTCTTATGGGGGAGGCATTTTCTCAACTGTGGCTCTCTCTGCTCAAATATGTCAAGCTCTGCGTCAACAAAAACTAGCCAGAACAGCCTTGTTTGGGCTGTAGGGCAAGTTGAGTTCTACTACTCTCAAAAGGCAAGATCCAAGTAGACATGGAGTATGGACATGTATGCTACACAGCTTTTTCCTAAGTGATGATGATGATGATGATGATGATGATGATGATGATGATGATGTTACAGATGTATTTTCTGGTTTTTCAAGTATTTGAATAAACAAAGTTATGATGTGAATTTCTGAGAGAAAGGTGGGGCATGTAGTCATTCTCAAGCACGTCTTCCTACAGAATCTTTTATTGGAGACTCGTAAATATTTCCACAAAGCAGAGAGAACCATAGAGCACATAGTGCAGGAAAGAGTGCTTGCCCGGCACACCCTACTTGTTTTCCAGGTAAAGTTGAAGACAAAAGTGCTCATCTCCACTAAAAAGTTCATCTCCACTAAAAAGTCCTATAGGAAGGGAAGCTCTGGTGTGTGTGTGTGTGTGTGTGTGTGTGTGTGTGTGTGTGTGTGTGTGTGTTCATGTGTAAGCAGGACAAACCCTTGCTTCCCAGTACTGGGGTTATAACCAATAATACCACACCCAGCTTTTTAACATGGTTTTGGAGGATCATACTCAGGTCCTTCTGCTTGCATTGACTGAGCCATCTCCCCAGCCCATGCACTGAATTTTTGCCTTCAAATGTCTTGATCACCAACTGCTGAGAAAATTATTGATATATTTTTATGGGAAGTAAAACCCTTTGAAACAGGATCTTATTATGTAGCATTGGTTGGTCTAGAACTCACTATGTTTACTCAAGCTGACAGAGGTCTGCCTGCCTCTACTTCCAGAGTGCTGGGATTGAAGGGTGTGCCACCCAACACAAGAAGAAAAGTGTTTGCCTTCAAATTTCTTGATTACTAGCTGCTAAGATAAATCATTATCAGTAGAGGCAGCCTTCTATCACAAGCAGAGAAAAATGGAGGCCGGTATTGACTGTCTGCTGGGACATTATGACAGCAAAGACCTCTTCACTGCAGTCAAATCGTGGGACTCTTATGAAGAAGCTGCAAGGAGTCACCTTAAAGCAGAGCCTGAAGCCTAGTGGGCTCTACTCAGTATTATTCTTTGTTCTGGGTTCTCAGTTCACATGCTCTGAAAACCCTCACTGAAGATAGCGAGGAGACGAGGTGTTTCGATCGTGGTTATAAATAACAATGATGATGACGATGATGATGATGATGATGATGATGACGATGAAAGCATTCCTGCCAGATCTTCTTGCCCATAACCACTGAATTCTCAGAGTTCTGAGCTATGTATGGACTTTGGTGTATAGGAAACATTCCTACAGAATCCTGTCAGACATGGCTACTGACCTCTCATTGTACTTAGATATGGATCTGATGTGTCACAGGAAGGGTACATGCCTGGCCCTTGATACTCATGGTGGGGGTGGGGGATAAATTCAGTAGAACGTAGTCTATCTGACATGCAGAAACTGTAGCACTACCCACCTGATGTCAAGATCCTTGGGCTTTTCAGCATCCCCAAACTTCAAAGACAACCTAAGAGAATGGAAACAGCACAGTTCATCAAAATCGGAATGGCTGAGACTGCAAGATGCTCAGATGGAGGGGGTACCTGCCTCCAGACCCGATGACCTGACTTCTGACATCGATGTCTGGACCCCACGTGGTGGAAGGAGAGAGTCAATTCCTGCAAGTCATCCTCTAACCTCCACACAGACACAGTGGTTTGAGCTCACATGCACACCTGCGTACAAGTGGACACACGGACACACACACACACACACACACACACACACACACACACACACACACAGAAATAATAAGATTTAAATTATGCTCTGCATTATTGGGCGTTAGGAAAACATAAACTAAAAACACATTTACACATCACAGAACAACAAACAGGATGATTAAACATCTTCCATGCGGAACTCACAAGCTTTTGATAACTATATTCTTGCACACTTTTCTGAAGGTAAATACTAGCTTCCCTGGGTTGAAGACAGATTAGCTATTCACTCAGGAACAACAGGTTCTTTTTTTGTTGTTTTTTTTGTTTGTTTGTTTGATTGGTTTGGTTTTTTGAGATGGAGTTTCTCTATGTAACAGTCCTGGCTGTCCTGAAACTTGCTTTGTAGACTAGGCTGTCCTGGAACTGGCTTTGTAGACCAGACTGGCCTCGAACTCACTGAGATCTGCTTGCCTTTCCCTCCCAAGTACCTCAATTAAAGGTGTGCACCACCACCACCAGGCCCAGGAACAACAGTTTTGATTCTCCTCTTGATACAACTCATCCCCCTGGGCAGTATAATGAGAGCCCAACATTATTCCTGGGATCTGAGGAGTCCAAAATTGACGTGGAGAGTTGGTGGCTCTTTCCTCACCTCCTGAATATGACAGAAAAGCATCTGTTCCCTCAGTGATGACAGATTCTCCTTGGGAAAAGAAGAAAGGAGATGCTGAGCTCATACCATGGAAGTAAGTGGAAGAATTTAATAACTCTGGATGGAAGCAGCTGGCCTACCATGAAGGACAGGAATGACTGCAAGTTTAAGATCTGTGTCTCATAAATGTCCCCAGCAGGAAGATGTGTCCCGCTGGCTCTCCAGCCCTTTGCCATGCAGACAAATTGCCCTAAGGCCTAACTTTCTTACTAACTCCAAAGCGTATCCTTTAGCCCAAGGCCAGTGAATTTTTTTCAGAAAGTATTAACCACACAGTAACTTTTATAAAAGGATTTTCTCTACAGCTTCATACCAAAAAGAACATGAAGCAAGTGGGTAATCCTCCTAGGAAGGCAAAATGGTTCATTTTCAACTGAGTAGGAGGTGTTCACCCACCCAGGAAGTACAGGCAGAAGAAACAGGAGTTCAAGGCCAGCCTCAATTACAAAGAAAAGTTTGAAGCCAACTTGGAATACGAAAGACTGTGTCTCAAAAAAATAAGGATTCACTTTTTTAAAAGTTTGGAGCCAGATGTGATGTTGCATGCCTCTAATACCATCACTAGGGAGACCGAGGCAGCAGGATTGCCGTGAGCTTACAGTCATACTACACACACTATGGAGCGCGTTCTGAGCTAGCCTGACTACAGCATATGACCCAAAAGAACTTAAAAGTGTTTAAGATTAAAATTTAGCAGTTTTGTAGAATGTTAAGGATGCCTAAATGATATGATTTGGCCCTTCTACTTCTATGTGGAAAATAACTAAGAAATGAAACCCATTCTACCACAAAGACTCATACAAGAATATTCATAACTATCTGATAAGTTACATAAAGGAGAGCGGCAAACTTCTATCATCAATGGGTGAATGGGTAATTAAGTTGTGATACACCCATACAATGGAATACTGCTCAGCAGGGAAAAAGAGTATTGCACTGATCACAGAAGATTGCCTCAGTCATCATGTTAAGTGAAAGAAGCCACACCAAAAGAGAGAACATACTACATGGCCATATCTACATAAACTTCTAGGAAACACAAATCAATCCTGAATGAGAGGAACTAAACCAACGGTTACCTAGAAAGGTGGCTATGGTGCAGGCGATGGACTAGAAAGGGTAACAAGTGTGTTTCAGACATGATGAAAGTGTTTGGTTGTGGTGATGGTATTATGTGTGAGCATGTATATGACAAGTGACCACAAGATACACTTGGATTTGTGCAGGTTCTTACTCTTCACTCGTATTTCCAAGTAGGGTTAGAAATATAAGAATGATGAGCTGTGTGTTTATAGTGGGAAGATATAAGAAATTTAAATATACAAAGAACGCTGCTGTTATAGCAATAAAACATCTAGGAGTCAGAACACCTTAACATGCATTAAGAAACCAAGAGAGCAAAAGCAAATAGCCAAGAATGGTAGATAGCACGCCGTGATTTCCTCAGCTTGGCCTGCTCCCCAGAAACAGAAAGATCAGTGGCTGCCCAGAACTCTATCATGACACTGCTTATGGGGAAGGGATGTGATGATCACAAAATAAATCATATAGCTAAGACTGGTAAAGGAAATATTTATTTCCTAACAGGATCAACTTGGACACCTTGAAAGTGCCTGTTTGAAAACACTTTAAAAAGGTAGAGCAGAAACTGTGGGAGTGGCCAGCTAATGACTGGTCCAGCTTGTGACCCATACCATGAGAGGGACCTACCACCTGACACCGCCTGGAGGGCCAGGACCCAGAGGCTGAATGGCCCAGAGACCAAGCATGACTGGCAAAAAAAAAAAAAAAAATTGTCAATGTAATAATGCCTCATGATAATCTGCTATACTCATAGACTGGTGCCTAACTGTCATCAGAGAGGCTTCACCCATCAGTTGATGGAAACAGATGCAGAGACCCACAGCCACATTAGGTGGAGCCCAGGGAATCCTGAGGAAGAGGGGGAGGAAGGATTGTTGAAGCCAGAGAGGTCAAGGACAGCACAAGAAAACCCACAGAATCAACTAACCTAGGCTCATAGAGGCTCACAGAGACTGAACCACCAACCAGAGAACTTGCATGGGACTGACCTAGGCCCTCTATATACATGTGACAGTTGTGTAACTTGGTCTTCTTCTGGGACTCCCAATAGTGGGAGCAAGGGCTGTCTCTGACTCTGTTGTCTGCTTTTGGGACCTTTTCCTCCTACCAGATTGCCTCATCCAGCCTTGATGTATACCATGGCTAGCTGATATCCATGGAAGGCCCATCTATATCTGAAGAGAAACTGAAGAGTGGATGGAGTCGGGGGAGGGGGGAAGGGGGGAACTCCAGTCAGGATATAAAAACAAAATAAATGAATAAATAATTACAAAAAAAAACACTTTCAAAGCTTCTTTATTAAGTAAAGCTTCAAGAGATCCCTACCCTAATGGTACTTTTACTGTCCGATAAAAACTACTAAAGAAACCATTTTAAAGAAACAAAATACACCAGGTATGGTGGCGCACACCTTTAATCCCAGCACTTGGGAAGCAGAGGCAGGCGAATCTCTGAGTTCAAGGACAGCCAGGGTTTCACAGTGAAACACTGTCTGGAAAAACCAAAAGGAAAGAAGAAGAAAACAAAGAAAGGAAGGAAGGAAGGAAGGAAGGAAGGAAGGAAGGAAGGAAGGAAGGAAGGAAGGAAGGAAGGAAGGAAGGAAGGAAGGAGAGGGAGGAAGGAAGGAAGGAAGGAGAGGGAGGAGGGGAGGGGAGGGAGAGGGGAGGGGGAGGGGAGGGGGAGGGGAGGAGGAGGGGAAGAGGAGGGGAGGGGGAGGGGAGGGGGAGGGGAGGGGAAGGGGAGGGGAAGGGGAGGGGAGGGGATGGACTCAAGCAGTCCATCATCACCCGGTGAGAAAACTGACCAGCTCCCAGCAGCGACCCACCGACCCACCGGGGCTTTCCCTAGCAGGCTTGGTTCCTGTGGAAGCATGAAAGCAGACTACTCTGGAGTAAAGGGCTTGAAGCCGGATTTCAACAAAGCTAATTCACCATTTGCTCAGCGAGGGTCTCGTAGGTGCCGGATGCCACACAACAACAGGACCACAAAAATGGGTACAACCCAGAGCAAAGGAACTCACTCGGCGCCCCGTTCTTACACATTTAAAACAGACCCTGAATTCTTCGGGCTATAAATGCCCAACCTCAAAATGCGCACAGATGCTGGGACTGTGTTCTATTTGCAGGGCTTTCACTATTAAAAAGTCTTCCATAGCAAATCTGTCTGCCAAATTTGCCCCTCCCTGAGCGTTTTATTTCCAAAAGCTAAAATATGCTCATCTTTTTCCAGTCTGGGCTTTTGACCTTACATGGCTATGTCTCCGTTTGGGTTTGTTCTGTCAGATGCAAGCGTTCCCCCACAGGCACAGCGGAGGCATCTCATTGTTCTACGGGGTTCTCAGAGATAAGTATCAGGGGTTTTTAGCAGCTGGAACTAAAACTCTCACTTCCTGAGAAGAAGCCCCAGCATGCTCTCTGGGTGGGGGTGCGCCCAGGCTGCCTGCATCGCACCTGAGCAGGACTGCAGGAGTCAGGGGGCTGCCTACCCGGGGCTCACACCTGAGCATATTTCTAGGGAGGTGACTAGGAAGATACCATATCAACGCCTGTCCAATATCTCATTTATGCACGGTAAAAAAACAAAAAGTGGCTGGACAGAGGACTCGTCTATTAAGAGCACTTGTTGCTCTTCCAGAGATCTGGGGTTCAGTTCCCAGCACCCACGTCGGGAGGCTAACAACAGCTTCAGGGGATCCAACACCCTCTTGTCACCTCTGCAGACACCCGAACACACATGCACGCACACACACACACACACACACACACACACACACACACACACACACACACACACAGACGAAGTCACATAAATAAAAAATAAACCAATCTTAAAAAATATTTAAAAAGAGAGAAAAAGCAAAAAGTCCCAAGGCCTCTCCAACAGGTGGTTGGACAGCACTGTGTTCCATTGCACTTGGTGTTGAGAAGAAAGGGGCAGGCAGCACTTGACGGGTCCTCTGGATCTTATACTTACATTTCCTCGGCTGCTTTTCATAATCCTGTGAGATAAGGCCAAGAGGAAGGTGCTAACATGTCCCTTTAAAGCCGATTTAGAACCCCGGTGGAACTCCTGTAAGGTCCCTAGCCTCACTCAGCCTGAATTCCTTATGACCTATAGGAGAGGACGACACCAGATGTGGAGACCTCACCAGCCCTGGCCTCTGGGCAAGGTACAAAGGCTGTCCACTATGATGAATAGTGGCCACCATCTCCATCTGTCATGGGACAAGCCCACAGGTCCTGTCGGCACACAGCTCTCTCCAGAACTGGACCTGCAAGACGAGCTTTGGGTTTTCTTCATGCATAGTTTCCACCGATGACTAAATTCTCCACAGCCCAGTCAAAAGCTGCGCTGCCCTGGTTCGTCCCACAACCCCCTAATGTCAGGCTAAATGGAACCACAGCCAGCCCTGGGCAAGCAAGCTTTTCCCCCAGGCAATCAGCATCTCTCCATGCAACTGACCACAAATCAAGAGCCCTGTAGGGAATTCATTAGAGACTGGGGGGAAAAGTCCTGAGCCCTCAGCAGTGTGGGCAGCTCTCCCATAGTCCTTGATAGCTGTGCTGAAACAAGAGAAACAAATGTGGATGGATTCTTAACAGTTCCCTAAATCTCGCAATTATTATAATTCCTTAAGTCCCTACTAGAAGACAGTCATTCTGAAGAGCAAAAGAGAATGCATAATATCCCCTTTACGGATATATCAATATATCCATTTCCACCCATGATCAAGAACTTTAAATAAGAAACAGAATTCAGGAATAAACCAGCAATTCCAGTTGAACCATATATAGTATAAAAAGAATGCACACAGGAGTGCATGCATAACATGTTACAGTTCATACAAATATCCTGGCAGGCCAAAACAAAAGCAAGAATCTTCCAAAAGGATTCATTGTACCAACGAATATTGAACAGGGGGTTTGTAGAGCACAAAGGGAACATTTCAGATTTCCTCTTCCTGGACAAGTAACAGAAGAAGAAGAAAAAATTCTCAGATGCCTGAAACGCAGAGAAAGGCTTTCAAAGTGATCTGTTCTCAACAGGCACATTTACTTAATCTGTTTATCTCAAACCATTCTGTTCACACTCAAATGCCCAAAGACTCACTGAAATTTGACCAAATGTCCTCTTACACACAAACTGTGGAATAGGCCATGTTCTGTAATTTGAGAATCTCTCACCATGACCAAACACACCACCTAGAGGCAAAGCTTGGTCCTGAATAAAGGTTTCCTGAGTAGCCCACAAAGATGGGTACACCCTGCTGTGTGATCTAAGTTCTTTCATGATAAGTCCAGGGTACTTTGACTCTTAACATTTGGAGTTGAGACCGAGCCTGAAAAGAACTTAACTTTTCACCCTTCCTTCCTCTCTTCTTTCCATCCTTTCTTCCTTCCTTCTACCTCCAAACAGCACAGGCTCTTGTCAGTGTTCTCGGTTGCCTACCAGAATTAGAGAATAAGAACAAATTGAAAGAAAAAAAAAAAAAAGAACAAATTGCAGGAGACATCACACACCTCCACTGCAAGATTCAGAGAAAGCAAGCTAGAACCTGATTGGAAACCTTCCTGCTGGCCGGCTAGCTTACAAACACAAAAGACTGTCCTTCAGGCTGCTCAGGAAGTAATGGTTTCAATGATCCAACCCAGCTGTGAACCCTGCAACCAAAAGGCCAACCTGCTTGGCAAGATGTGCCTACCTGCACAACAGGGGCATGATTATTGTGAAGGAACTAGCTGCCCTTTGACTTGGGGTAGGGACATGGGAGGGGGTAGCCATAACCTGGTATTTATTGTAAGGCCAGCTAACAATTCAGGACTGGGGATATCACAGGCCCACTGTGAAGCTTAGTACTATTGTTTAACTAAATTGGCATATATTTGAAAGGCCCAAATGCCATAACAGGCTGCTCAGTCTTCTCTCAGAGATCAGGCCTTAATTTCAGTTTCCTGAGACTGAGCAACCAGTTTCTAGGAGGGCCATGAACAAAAGACAACCACTGATGTCCCTGCCAGCAGGGACAGGGAGATAGGACGTACCAAGCCTGGGCCACTGAGTCAGCTCCCACAGTCAGTACATGCTAGGTCAGCCAGCCTCCATAACAGCTCAAGGACAAAGCCTGGGCCACTGAGCCAGCCCCCACAGTCAGTCCATACTAGGTCAGCCAGCCTCCATAACAGCTCAAGGACAAAACCTGGGCCACTGAGCCAGCTCCCACAGTCAGTCCATGCTAGGTCAGCCAGCCTCCATAACAGCTCAAGGACAAAGCCTGGGCCACTGAGCCAGCTCCCACAGTCAGTCCATGCTAGGCCAGCCAGCCTCCAGGGCAGCTGAAGGACAGAGCCTGGGACTTGTCAAGGCCTGCCCAAAAATGGAAAACTGTAACCCTCAACTAATCCTAGCCAATTAAGTTACTAACATGATTGCCACTCACATAAACCAATCCTGTGTCTGTCCTTACAGAGTCTGTAGACCCCAAGTCCCCCTTGCTTTACCCCCTGTAAAAACACAGCCCCATTGCCACTCGGGGTCTCTCCTGCTCTGCTGCTGTGTCAGATGGACGGAGAGACCCGAGTTAACTCACAACAATAAAAAGACTCTTTGTTCTTGCATCGGATTTGGTCTCTTGATGGTCTTTGGGGAACTCTAGGGACAACAATATTCATAGATGAAACTTTTCCCTCCTCCCCTCCCTTCTCTTCTTCCTTCCTCCCCTTTTAGAATGAATTGGAAACTCTCATTTTCAAAACCCACAGAAGAAAACTAATCAGCCACTCTCCAATGGAACTCACATCCAAAAATAGTTGGACAGCCTAAATTGATCTCGGTGGTTAAAAAATAAAATATCTTAGGGTTTTTATTGCTGTGAAGAGACACCATGACCATCACAACTCTTAAAAAGGAAAAAAATTTAATTGGGGTGGTTTACATTTTAAGAGGTTTAGTCCATTATTATCATGGTGTGACATGGTGGTGTGCAGGCAGACATGGTGCTGGAGAAGTAGCTGAGAGTCCTACATCTTGACTTGCATGCAAGGAGAAGCAGTCTGAACACTAGGCGTGGCTTGAACATATATAAGAACTCAAAGCACATCTCCTACAGTGACACACTTCCTCCAACAAGGCCACACCCACTCCAACAAAGCCATACCTCCTAATAGTGCCACTCCCTATGAGCTTATGGGGCCAATTACTTTCAAACTATGACAGAAGATAACACAAAACTGGGTGGTTAGATGGAAAGGTGGATCTGGGAAGAGCTGGGGGTGAATATGATCAAAACAAATTGCACAAAATTCTCAAAGAACTAATAAAACATTCTTTAATCTGTGACTTGTTCTTCAGTTTAGATGACGAAGGAAAACAAACCGGTTGTCACGGTGAATTTACACAGTACCTGGAAGGCTTCCTCAGCCAGGAAGATTGACTTACATGGCGCTTTCCTCACTGCAGTTTGAGTTGCCGGTGTCCACTGTTGTGTTTGGACCAGGTGCTTCATCTGTGAGGTCCAGCCAGGTCTGATTCTTAAATTTCACTGTGATTCTCTTGGTCCAGAAGAGGATGCAGGGAACGCCATCCCTGGAGAACTTAACAGGATTATGATGACTGTAGACGCTCCAATGGCTTTTGCTCAGATTGTCGTTGAAAGTCTAATTAACCAAGTAAAAGAAATTTAGGAGATACATGTGGGTCCTTGGAATCAGAGACTTCCTACAGATAAAAAGGTTAATTCATATCCTGTATTCATGTATACATGTTATTTATTTACTGAAAGAATGACACAGAGAGTGGGCCAATTATTCCGGTGTAGTTGCAAATGAAAGACAAACTGGTCGAGAGAGAGAGCAGTAAGTAATAAAAGATACCCTTGCTGCGGTTCCTGTGGGAAAACCATAAAACGGAATACTGCGGTGAAAAATGTAACATTAAGAATTGTATGTTGTTCTCAACTTCCCAGAGCTCAAGTAAGATTATGTTAATAATTAGCGTAACTGTGGTGTATATATTCACCGTAGCTCTGAAAGCATTGAAAAGTGAGCATGTTATTTAGGTTAAAGTTTAAGGTCCCAACAGCCATACCTGTGTGATGGGTGGTGTTGTGAAATTCTGGACTGGTTTCACCTCTCCGCTATGCTTTTGATCTGTCAAATAAATAATGCTGTGAGTACCAAGGTTTGATGCTATCAGTTTGTGAACATAACTGAATGATGCTGATGAGCTAATCACTGGTATATATCCTGTTTGGGCTTAGCATTTGAAACGCCCTAGTTGAAAAGATTTTTCCACGAGAGATTCTAGTTCAAACAGCACCAGTGAGGTTAATATACCCCAGAAAGGGCCTTTCTTTATCCCTGCCCCCAGGGAAACACAAGGGCAATTCCAAGTCTTACCACTCCGTATAATCACTCCTTTACTTGAAGAGGCTTGCGAACTGAAATTAGAAATAGAGTTTTAAATGCAGAATGAACATCTATCGAGGAGGCTTCCCAGAAGCTTTGAGAGGTTATCTCAGCTGTGTCCATACCACTCGGGAGCATGCTGTAGCCACTCAGAATACGACATTTTTAAGTGAGAAATTTCTTTTTTTTTAAAACTCTTAAGATTGATTGATCTATTTATTTATTATGTATGCAGTGTTCTGCCTGAATGTATGCCTGCAGGCCAGAAGAGGGCACCAGATCTCATTGTAGATGGTTGTGAGCCACCATGTGGTTACTGGGAATTGAACTCAAGAACTCTGGAAGAGCAGCCAGTGCTCTTAAATGCTGAGTCATTTCTCCAGCCCAAGTGATGATTTTCTGATTTAAATATAGCACACCCTCTCCAAACAGAATATAGAAAACACAGAAATTCCTGAAATTTTTCGTTTTTTATGAATCAGTTCTTATCCTTACTGGATGTTATAGGGACTCAACTTGCAGGCCAAGCAGTAAGCTAGCCACCAAACTTTAACCAATGATAAAAACATAATAATATGTAGTAAATTATTTTACAATGAAATTTTATATCACACTGTGTCACTATATTATAGACAAAATATTCAATATGTGTTATTTTAAAAAAGGACAAATTCAGCCAAGCAGTGTTGGTGCACGCCTTTAATCCCAGCACTCTGGAGGCAGAATCATGAAATCTCTGTGAGGTCAAGGCCAGCCTGGTCTACATAGCGAGTTCCAGGACAGCCAGAGCCACACAGTCTCAAGAGACAAACAAGCAAACAAACAAAAGACAGATTCAATTGCCAAAAAGGAATTTCTGAAAACTACGAAAATAGAAATTATGATCTATAGCCTTCTACTATTTAGCTATACTCATATAAACATACATATACCACATAATTTTCTTTTTATAAAACTTAAAAACATATTGAGAGCATATTGTTTTTCAGCCTGCAATTTTTGGGCTTCAGTGTGTATCACAAACATTTACCCATGTTGTCATTTTTTGGACACAATTTTGAGTTTCATACAGTATTACATCATGAAAACGTATCGTGGTGTCTTCAGCCATGTTCCTAGTCTCACATATTTATGTTTTGGTTTAAATGTCCTCCAAAGGGCCAGGCAGTGATGACGCATGCCTTTGATCCCAGCACTCAGGAGGCAGAGGCAGCAGGATCTCTGAGTTTGGGGCCAGCCTGGTCTACAGAGCAAGTTCCAGGACAGTCAAGGCTACATAGAGAGACCCTGTCTCAAAAAAAGAAAAAGAAAAAAGAAAGAAATGTATAAGACTTCTGGCAGTGAGAGCTGGGGATGTCCCTGACTCTGTTGCCTGATTTGGGGACTCATTCCTCCTGCCTGATAGCCTCATCCAACGCTGGTGGAGGAGAGGGTGCCTGGTCTCACTTCAGCTTGATATACTATGGCTGGCTGATATCCATGGGATGCCCACCTGTATCTGAAGAGAAACAGTGGAGGAGGAGGAGTGGATGGGGTTGGGGGGGAGGGGGGGAGGGTGCTGGGAAGAGGGGAGGGAGGGGAAACTTTGGTTAATATGTTTTTAAAAAGCCCTCCAAAGGCTCACTGTGACTGTAGAATTGGGCAGACAGATGGTGGCAGGTGGGGTATGGGGATGTCCTTAGGTCTCCGAGAGTGTGCGGTGGTTCTTCCACAGCCTAGGGATGGTTCTCCTACAACCATCAGTAGTTCTTGTGAGAACATTGTAATAAAGAGAGCAACAGCGGTCCCTCTTGTTCTCTATTTCCTTGCTCAAGATATGACTGACACCTTGTTCTGGAGACTCACTCCATCTCACCATCTGCCATCAGCCATGGATCCTCACCAGAACTGACCAACTCAGACCCATGCCTTTGAATTTCCAAAACTATAAGATAAATAAGCCTCTTTACTGGAAGATGAAGGCTATTTTTGTTTTCAATATAGTCTATGTAATGAAAAGCTCACTAATAACAATTGTTCCCAGGGCTCCGACATTCTAGGATAGTGGTTCTCAACGTGTGGGTCTTAACCTCTTTGGGCATCGCATATCAGATATCCTGCATATCAGATATTTACATTACAATTCATAACAGTAGCGAAATTACAGTTATGAAATAACAATGAAAATAATTTGATGGTTGGGGGTCACCAGGACATGAGGAACTGTATTAAAGGGTCACAGCATTAAGGAGGTTGAGAACTCTGATCTCAGATATTACAGTGGCTTGTTCTTTAATATCAATTCCTAAAGTAAAATTGCTAAGTAGGGAGGTAGAGAAATGTTTTGTCATGTATTCCAAGTGCAAAAACATGCAAACCAGGGGATTGGAAAGAGGCTCAGTGGTTGAGACCTTGTATTACTCTTTCAGAAGACCCAAGTTCTATTCCTAGAACCCACATCAAGTGGCCAACAACTGCCTAGAACCCTAACTCCAGAGGAATCTGACGACTCTGGCCTCCTTGGGTACTAACACATAGGTGGGGTGCACTCATACACACATACACATAATTTAAGATAAAATAAATCTTTTTTTTTTTAATTTTTCAAGATAGGATTTCTCCATGTAGCCTTGGCCATCCTAGAACACCCTCTGTAGACCAGATTGGTCTTAAACTCACAGAGATCCACCTGCGTCTGCCTCCGAGTGCTGGGATTAAAGGTGTGTGCCACCACCACACAGCAATAAATCTTTCTTTTAATGTCAGCCAAAACACAAAATCTTCCCCATGATTCCCAACCCACCTTTCAACCTTAGTAATCAAGTCACAGCCAATCTTAGTTCACACATAAATAGAACTGATTACAGATTAAATACATTATTCTACATTATCTAGTAAAAATCTCTACAGATGACAAATTTGGGGAAATGCCTACTAATTGCTCCTTACACATGTATGCAACAATTGGTTCATTTTTATCAACTATACTCAAGTGTAACTTTTGTACAGGAAACTGTCTATGTAATCTAATCAATCCTGTATGTTTTGGCACAGGTGCATAGCCATGGTGCTATAGCTACAGTAGAGTTCAAGAATATCAATGGTACTCACCAAAAGTTCTCCAAGGATTTCTACAGTTCCCTTCACCTTCAACCCTCCACCCTTCATCCCAAGCAAGTACAGTGACTTCCTATCAATCTGCATGAGTGTGCATTTCATACAATTGTAAATTAACAGTCATAACATTTACCTTTTAGTATTTGGTTTCTTAATCTTTTGTTTGTTTGTTTGTTTGTTTTTTGTTTTTTTTCGAGACAGGGTTTCTCTGTGTAGCTTTGCGCCTTTACCTGGTTCTCGCTCTGTAGACCAGGCTGGCCTCGAACTCACAGAGATCTGCCTGCCTCTGCCTCCCGTGTGCTGGGATTAAAGGCGTGCGCCACCACCGCCCGGCTGGTTTCTTAATCTTAACACAACGGCTTTGGAATTTGTGTATGCTGCTACATGTATCAGTGCTTAATTCTAATCCATTGCTAAGAAATACCTCACTGTATAGATATAATACATTTTATTTGTCTATGCACGTATTGACATTTTCAGGCATGTAGAAGCTTGAATAGTGTTTGTAGCTCGGGACTTTATAAACAAAGATTTAAGACTTTCATGTATACTAGTTAGTGTGGAATGTGGTTTTTGTTTGTTTGTTTGTTTGTTTTTTGTTTTTCCAGTTCTGAGGAATGAACTCTGGCTTCATTTGTACAGATGTGTGCTCTCCCGCTTAGCCACACACACACAGCCTAGGAGACATTGCTGTTTATAAGAAGTCCCTTGCGATCGAGGTTGGCATGAATCAGTCCTCTGAGGCCAATCTCATCCTGGTGCACTTGGGAGCACTGAGACATTTAATTTTCTGAACAACGAAAGTAATGTATATCTTATGCATACGTCTCTACCTACCTAACTCCAAATTCTCCCATGTGAGTTGAAACATCACTGAAAATACGATAGAAGAACAAACAAGTAGAAAACACTCCCTGGAGACATAAAGCTTTCTCATACCCATGAACAGAATTTTAAATTTTTCATTAGTTTGAATGGTATTCAAAAGCCATATATCATAACACCAACTTATACATCCGATTTTTAAGTGCCTTCATTAACAAAAATATAAAAAATGGTGAAGTATAGTTTACATAGGAAAGATAAAAGTATCAAATCAATTGGGAATATTTAGCTAATAGAAGATAATTCTAGCCGGGCGGTGGTGGCGCACACCTTTAATCCCAGCACTCGGGAGGCAGAGGCCGGCGGATCTCTGTGAGTTTGAGGCCAGCCTGGTCTCCAAAGCGAGTTCCAGGAAAGGCGCAAAGCTACACAGAGAAACCCTGTCTCGAAAAACCAAAAAAAAAAAAAAAGAAGAAGATAATTCTAGATATTTATTGAGTAAAAGTATATTAATGAATAAATAAATAAACTATAATACTGTTAAACTGCTTGGTTTGAGGCTTTGTCTATTAATTAAATTTTTTCATGTGTTCATTAATGAAGGACTTATAGTAAACAAAGAAGTTCACTGTCACTTCAATGCATCTCTGGTCTAACCATACAATCATTCTTTTTTTTTTTTTTTTTTTTGGTTTTTCAAGACAGGGTTTCTCTGTGTAGCTTTGCGCTTTTCCTGGAACTTACTCTGTAGACCAGGCTGTCCTTGAACTCACAGAGATCCGCCTGACTCTGCCTCCCGAGTGCTGGGATTAAAGGCGTGTGCCACCACCGCCCGGCGCGTCATTCTTTTTTAAAACACTGCAATGCAGACAGGCTTTGCATACAACCCTAAGCCTGACTAAGTAAGATCTTACTGGAAACCTAATTTCAACCAGAACAAAATATGCGTCACTACATAGTACCTGAATGACAGGAAAAACTGACAACCATCCACAATTATCTGCGTGGATAGGTTAAGAAACACTGAGGTAAGAAAATTAAACCTTGCTTTACCTGGCAGCCCAGGCCTGCAATGCCTCAGGAGTCAGAGGCAGAAGAATCAAAAGTTCATGGTCTCCTGAGTTGATATAGGGTGTTCAAAACCAGTTTGGGCAACTTAGTGAGACTCTTTCACAAAATTACTGTATTTTTAAATGGCTAGATATCCTAATGAAACCCATATCAATGTATAATTGATATAATCTAACAAAAATATTTTAAGTGGCTATGGGCCTGAGGAGATAACTCATTTGGTAAGCACTCAGAATTCAATGCCTAGAATCCATGGAACACGGGTTCATACACTTGTAATCTTGGCACTTGGTAGGCAGAAACAAGAGGGTCCCTGGGACTCGGTGGCTAGCCAGGCCAGCTGAATCAGCAAGTTCCAGAACTCTGAAGAGACCCTGTCTCAAAAAACACAAGGTAGAAACAGAGGCAGACCTCTGTGAGTTCAAAATCAGACAGACCATCATAGGGATCCAGGCCAGGCAGGGCTGTACAGAGGCCCTGTCTCAAACAAACAGAAGAATAAATCCAATTTAGGATTCCAAAAAGAAGGAATTGTGACTTCCAACTCCTTTGTTTTAAACAGGATTTTTTTTCCTTTTGGGTGTGTGTTTACATACATGCATGAGATGTATGTGTGTGTATATATGAGTGTGTACAGAGGCCAGAGGAGAATGCTGGGTATCTTCCTCTTTGTTTTGCCTTCTGCCTTACTCCCTGGAGACAGGATCTCTCACTGACCCTGGAGCTCACTGCTTTTCAGTAGTCTCCCCTTCTCTGCTCACAGCGGGACTGGGGTGACAGGCGTCCATGGCCAAGTCTGGCTTTTCTACCTAGGTGCTGAGGTCCGGACTCAGGTCTTGACTGCTGCAGGCACGCTCTTAGCCGCTGAGCCACCTGAAGGCCTAGCACTCCCCACTCTTCTCTTTAAACTTAGGAAATGTGCGTCACACCAACACTGCTGCCATCTCTCTTAGGAATAGCCCTACCGTGTTAAGAGATGTTTTTAATTGCAGATCCATGATTTGAAAGAGCGTTTACAAAATAGGAGTTGTTGGTTCCTTCATGGTGACTTAGCATGCGTTATTAGATTAGGATGGTCATCTACGTGACTTAACTTGCTTTTGTAATTTTTAATTATCATATAAAATGCTGGGTTGCATTCTTGGGTTTTCATACATAATTTGCTGTCATTGACACTCCTTTGCTCTCTGTACCCCCTTCTCCTCTTCCTTCCCCAACAGTCTCCTTCCACTGTAAGGACACTGGTATTCAATTACCTCATTTTTTACCCTCCCCAGCCCTCCCATAAGACCTCTTTTTTCCCCTTTCATGTTCCCTTTTCTAGATTCCTGACCTACACTTGTCCCTCCCTCCACACATATATAAAAATTAAAATCTAGGATCTGCCCGAGAGAACACGCATTTCTGTTTCTAAGTCAGGGATACTTCACCTGATATTTCAGTTCTACCCATTTTCTTGCAAATGTAATAATTACTTTTTTCCTTTGGGTAAATAAAATTGTATTGTGTATATATACCACATTTCCTTGTTCATTTGCTTGTTAGTAACATCTAGGTTTTGTAGCTTTTGTAAAGAACACAGCTGTTTGTGTAATTTCTAAGATCTACGCTTATAAAGGCAGAACTTGAGTTTTTTAATTTTTGAGACTATTTTTGCCAATGTAATACAAAAGCCACTCGTTTCCATATAAACCTGGTGGAGAAATATTATGTCTTATAGGCTGGGGTATAGCTCAGTGGTAGAGCACTTGCTTAGCATTCATGAGGCCCTAAATGTAACCGCTGCCTGGCACAGAAGCACAGGATTCCACATTATTACAAAGCCAGGCACAGCAGTGAATGCCTGTTATCCCAGAACTTGGAATGTAAACTGGGAGGATCAGCTCAAGACCATCACTGACTATATAGATAAATTCAAGGACAGCTTGGGCTACAGGGGACCTGTCCCAAGCAAAGCATGATATAACATTTAACCGCCTGAGACCTTTAAGCCACATACTATTTCAAAATAAGCTTGAAAGAACGCACTAACTGATTTAGGGGAGAAAAGAAGAAAACATTGCGAATATCTGTTCTTAAAGCTGTTATCAGCTGCTGACTAAGGAGTTCTTCAAGATGCTTTGCAAGCTCACCCTGTTTGCTGCTGTGCTCTGTGTTCACACGAATTTCCCCGATGCCTTTGGTGAGATGGCACATTGTGAATAATTGGGAAATGAGACATGCAGTAGCGGCGGTGGAGCTTCTAACTACACTTTTTAAGAGCTAAGTCTGTGTACTTCTTTGTAAGGTACGGAAAGAAAACAGACAAGGGAATAAAAATGGTGCTTGTTAATTGTAAATGCCGCATCATAAACAATCACTACCTCTAACCAGTTAACGTGACCTAACATCTTTCCTCTGGGATCACGAGTTATACATTCCTAAGGTTGCCACTCACATAATTATGACAGGAGAAGCTGTGAACTTAGCCCTTGTTTATAAATGCAAAAGAAACCAGAGCCAGGGCTGATCTGCGAGTCAGTTAAGGAGTGGTATATTTAATACAAATGCAGTGTTTCTTAGTGTTTTGAACGATAATCCTTGCCTCTCATTGTAAAAGTATAATATAATAAATACTGTAGTAGCTGTATGCTCTAACCTAGCTTATACATTTTTGAACCATAAACAGATGCAGATATAACTACATAAAGAAATGACAAAAACATCTAATTTCACACTTGCACTGAGGTTCACGAACACATTGCATTAAAGGATGGGCAGTTACTCACCCTACATTCTTCCAGGCAAGTATCTGGTCCAAAGTGACTGAAAACACCGTACATAAAAACAGAAGTGAAAAACTGAACAAGAATTTTCTTCCCATCAAGAAACGTATGCCTTTTCAAACCAAGCACATCTGTTAATTCGTGGAGCAAACAGAGCAGAGGCTGAACTGTTCTTGCCAAGTGACTGGCAGCACCTTCAACCAATAAAAAGATAGCTTTCCCAGGATGTGCTATGGGGGAGCAAGGAGGGTGAGGCCTGGCAATGTTCGATCTGGAGCACAGAGCTAACCCAGCAGCGTTTAGCTTTTCAATTATTCATCGCATTTAAAAAATTTTAGACAGCACTTTAAGAGAAAATACATTGCTAGTAAGCCCTTTATGGGAAGTTGCACCATTGTGTCACACATCTCATAAGCTTCTCATACTACTTTTCAGCAAATGATTACCCTTTCTCTCAGATCTATGAGTATATATTTTTACCATACATTTTTAGGTGAATTGGTTAGTTAAAAAAAAAAACAGTCTGGAACTTACCTATGTTTCCAGATGTGTCCTAGATCACGGCTCTCCGTTAAATGCAAACTTTCCATCTACGGAGAAGACTTAAGAGGTATGTTGACGACACTCTGGCTTTGGAGTCAAGAGCTGCTGAAGGCATGCCAGAGGGATGGTTCCCAGAGCTTCTGTTGTAACAGTCAGACAAGCTCTCCCTTCCGTGCTGGTTTTCTGCAGAACAGGAACACAGGGACAGGAGTGCTTAAAGAACTGCCGCAGAGGGGAAGGGGAGGGGGATATGAGCACAGGACAGTGATGCGTGTGCCTGCAGATGTCAGAACAAAATCCAGTGTTTTCTATGCTGCTATATTCTGGATAAAAAGGATTCTAGTGAAGATGAAATTAAGTGAAATGACAGACAAAAGCTTCTTGCCTTGGGTAAATCAAGAGTAATCGTATTACTCCCCCCAAAGTCTACAAAACAAAATCCAGAAAGGTTTTACATTTAAAACACACATAATAAGATTCCGTAGATTCCGTAATGAAAGCCTTCCGAAATGAAGCAATGGGTATGTCTGCCACTTCGGGACCTTGATACTTTTAATGGGAAAATATTGGCAGTAGAGAGGGGCTACCTTTAACTTTTTTAAATTATTGTTTTATGTGGATGGGTGTTTTGCCTGCATATATGTCTGTGTACTGCATGTGTGCAGTGCCACACCCCCAGAGGCCAGAAAAGGGTCTCAGATTCCTTGAAACTGGAGTTACCGATGGTTCTTAGGCACCACGTGGGTGTTGGGAATCCAACGGGGTCTTCTGGAAGAGCATACTGTGCTGTTAACCACTGAGCCATCTCGCCAGCCTGAGACGGGCTGTTTTTAAATGAAAGTTCAGGGAAGTAACAGACTCGAGGGAAACTGAAGACTTGTTTGATGATGTTGATGATTCTCATCTTCTTTGGGTGCTGTCTCCCCCTCCCACGGCACCAAGCTCCTCTTCAGAAAACAACAGAAGGAAATAAAGCACGGTAACCCGGGAGGTGGGAAAATACAGCAATAAAGGGGGAAGGTTGTGATAATAATTTAATGATAAACTGGGTGAGCTGGCACACATCTGTTAGCCAGCTGTTATAAGCTGGGAGAGCTGGCACACATCTGTCAGCCAGCTGTTATAAGCTGGGAGAGCTGGCACACATCTGTTAGCCAGCTGTTATATGCTGGGGGAGCTGGAAGCAAAAAGACCAAAAGTTCACCAGGTGGTGGTGGTGGTGGTGGCGGCGGCGGCGGCGGCGGCGGCAGCGGCGGCGGCGGCGGCAGCGGCGGCGGTGGCGGCGGCGGCACTTGCCAACACTTAGGACTTGAAATTCCACAGAATCAGGAAAAACATAAAAGTAGATAAAAGGGGAGGTGGAGAGCAGAAGTGGGGAAGTGAAAGAGAAAAAGGCAGAAAAGTTATGTGTGAGAGGTAGTAGAAATGAACCATGGCACAAGACGCTTCATTAAACTTATTATTACTACTGACTATTGAGACAGTGTCTCACGTTGGCCAGGCAGAGGCAGGAGGATCTCTGTAAGTTCAAGGCCAGCCTGATCTACAGAGGGAGTTCCAGGACAGCCAAGAGCTACATGGAGAAACCCTGTCTCAAAAAACAACAACAAAAAACAACAACAGAAAAAGACGACCAAAAGTTCAACTCCACTCTCAGCTACACAGTCAGTTCAAGGTCAACCTGGGCAACGTGAGACACTGTCTCAATAGTCAGTAGTAATAATAAGTTTAATGAAGCGTCTTGTGCCATGGTTCATTTCTACTACCTCTCACACATACTTTTCTGCCTTTTTCTCTTTCACTTCCCCACTTCTGCTCTCCACCTCCCCTTTTATCTACTTTTATGTTTTTCCTGATTCTGTGGAATTTCAAGTCCTAAGGCAGGTTTGAGAGCAGGAACTTAGTTTTCTGTAGGGCTGACAGGTAAGCTATATAATATCCAGTTAAACTGGAATCCAAGAAAAACAAGTAATGGTAATATGTGTGCCCCACACAATATTTAAGAGGTATACATTGGGCTGGAGAGAGGGACCAGCTGGTAAAGTACTGCTGTGCAAGCCTGAGATCCAAGGTAGATTTTGAGAACCTGCGTGTAAAAGCTGGGCACAAAGGCTCACATCTCTAATCCTGGTGCTGGGGAGGCATGAGGAATCCTAAGACTTGCTGGCCACCCTGGCCTACTCTGCAAGTCCCAGGCCAGTGAGAAACCCTGTCTCCAAAATCAAGGTGGGTATCATCCTGAGGAACAGGAGTTGATCTTTGGCTTACACACACACAAAGATACAGTGTATATAAAAGTCATGATTATTCATCAGAAACTTACATTTTATTGACTAGCCTATGCATGTAACAGTTAAATCTGGCAACCCTGGCCCCAGGGAGTCCTCTGCTACTGAACCCTTACTGTTTGTACAGGTCACAAGGATTTCTCTGGGATCTGAGTTCTGTGTGTGGAGGTCTAGGTGGGGTGAGGAGTCCGTGTTCCTGTATTTGGCTCAGATGCTACAGGCTCAAGAACTGCCCTTCAAGTAGCAAGACTCTAGAACAGTCATCGGTCTGTAAGAGCAACATATGTAGCTTAAATTTTCTAGTAGTCACATTTTAGAGAAGTAAAAATAAACGTGAAATGAACTTTAATGATAATTAACTTGATATATCTAAAATACTGCCTTTTCATTTGAAGGATTTTTAATGAAACATCTAACATTCTTTGCCGCCCTAGCTCTGAAATGTACATATATAACAGTTCTCCATTCAAGTTCATCAGATTCCAGGTGTTGAGCAGCTACTCTATTAGAGACATAGAACATCTCCAACTGTGAGAACAGCTCCTTGAAGTCTTCTACAGTGTCAATGACACTGTCTGTTCCTCGGAATGCAAACGGGGAGGAAATGTCATCCCAAGACCATCTCCCACTGTGACAAGACAGGTTTTGTGAATGCCGAGAAATATAGTGTTGTAAGCATCATTCCTAGAACTGTGCTTGGGCATCATTCAAGCCTGTGCACATAAAATTGTTAGTTTTAAACCAAGTATTGTATGTCTTTAAGATTCTAAAATTTTAACCATATCACTCTTTTTGTTGTGAGGTTATCTTCCTACTTGGTTAAGAATATTAAAAGCAGAATAATTAATCCCTAGTAGGTTTCACACATTTTAAAATAGAAGTCACAGTTAAGATGTGATTGTCTGAGAATAGCTCGTCTTGTGACTTTGCAGGAGAAGAACAGTAGAGAATTGTTAATTGGATATCTTACAGGCGGAACACTAGGGAATGGCCTTGCCTCACATTATTCCTGCCTCTCAGACTGTTGGGGAGGCTTTGTCAAGAATGTGGAAAGCCTGAGATTTTATCCACTTGCAGCTGACAAATTAGCCTTCCTGTTTTAGAGATGGTGGCAGACACCAAGACTCCTGGGTGAAAGACAAAGGCTTTTCATGACTCATTGTCACCCAGCATCACTAAACCTGTGTCAGAGTCCTGGAGGAATAGACGGGGGAGCTAGGACCTAGCTGGGGGAGGTGGGACACTGAAGATATGTCATCAAAGGATACAGTCTAGCTCAGTCTCTCTCTCTCTCTCTCTCTCTCTCTCTCTCTCTCTCTCTCTCTCTCTCTGTGTGTGTGTGTGTGTGTGTGTGTGTGTCTCTCTGTGTCTGTCTGTCTGCCTCTCTTTCTCTCTCTCTGTGTCTCTGTCTCTGTCTCTGTCTCTGTCTCTCTCTCTCTGTCTCTCTCTCTCTCTCTCTCTCTCTCTCTCTCTCTCTCTCTCTCTCTCTCCTCTGCCATTTGTCCACTGCTGTGGAGGTCTGCCTCACCAGAAGCCTATGGTAGCACAGCCAGTCCATCATGCCCAGAACTTCTGAGACCACGAGCCAAAAAGAAACTTTTCCTGTCTCTTGGACTTGGGTGTTGTCACAGTGATGAGAACCTGATTAACCCAAGGAGACCGGATCATTCACAGTGTTTAGGAAACCCCCCTGCCTTTACTTCTAGAGGAAAAGCACCCCTATTTTCAGGATTATAAACAAACCTGCCATTGGCTTCAGAAGGAGAGAGACACGTTTTCTTGTTTCACAGCTATTCACTGCGAAAACGGAAGAGGGAAAAAGAACTCCAGAACAAAGGAAAGCAAGTAGCTCACAACACACGCAGAAAACGCAGAAGCAGGTAGAAAATGTTTCCTCAGCAGCGTCCAGGAGGCACAGGAAGTTGAAGAGCTTTGCTTGATCTTCTGCCTGGTTATATATTACTAAATGAACGTTACCTGGAATTTTGAATATCAAAAATTCATCTTTCATATTCATATGTGACCATACAGAAGTATGTTCACACAAGGAAAAAACACATCTAACTTAATTTTGGAAGCATATACCAAGAGAAGTCTGTATTTATCCAAACCAGTCCAAATGGTAAATTAATGATAATGGTCTTTGCATGGTGGCTCAAAATCCAGATCTGTCTACTGCCTACACAGCCCAGGGCAGCCCCTGCTGCTCTCTCCTTCACCATGTCGGCTACTTGCCCTGACCACGTTGCAGGCACACAGACTGCCCTGAGCTGTTTAACACCCGTAACAGGTCACATGCATTTCCTCCCTGGAGGTCAACTCAGCTTTCCTTGTAACCAGACATCACG